CGTTTTGCATTGGCCAGCATCACGAGAGCCTCTGAATATCCTCCTGTCGGCGTTGCAAGAATCACTCTACAGCTTCTAGAAGACACAACGGCAAAGCGGCGATTACTCTTTGGATTTCAGTTTGTTCTTTCTTTGGATGCAAGACCTGTGGTGAATGAGATCCACCATAACCCGGTGTTCGACCGAGCACAAAAGGTCTCCCCGACTGACGTCCGTCGGATGTAACACGTCTCATCCTCCTCGATACCAAACTGTTCATTCACTTCACAAATGTATGATTTCGGCGGACAATCTCGACGATACACTCGCCAAGAAAAATCAGATTTATCATCAAAATCTAGGACGACGGTGGCCTCAATCACGATACGTCATGTGGGTATTTCCTCTGGTCGTGTAAGTGACGAACTAATCAGACGAACGTATCCCTCAATCATCATGCTTTCTAGGAACAAAGGAGGTCCGGCCATCGAAGTCATCCAAAAAAAGCTTCAACCTGCATGGTAATGAAGCCTACATTACCATGAAGAGAGTACCGAAAATCCGTTTTCTCCGTCATACGGTCTAACTATCAAGGTACGAGGTGTGTCTGCAGACCATGAACCAGCATGCAAGTCAAATCTGAAATCTCAAACCATTCACAGAAGAACCTCGGATTTATATTCAAATATTATTCTGGCATTACAGCGGACCTCTACTAGTTCAGTCACTAGTGTTGTATTACCCGAGAAGAAGTCCTCTTATCGAACTTCCTTCATGCATCAGTCAAAAGATGTATAAAAGCGAGGGTTGGGTCCATAGAAGTCTCAAAGCCTTCACCCCAATTTCAGGAGAAGAGCTTCATTTCTACAGGTTTTTCTCCCTCTCAAGATGACTTCCTTTCGTCGTCTTGCAATCGCAGCGATACTAGCATCTACGCTCAATGTTTACGGAGCGTTAGGCGCTCAAGTACAAAAGCCAGGGTTGAGACTACCTGCCAGTGCAACTGCACATCGTCAAGCCGTTCAGAACATATTCTTGCAGAGTTACGATTCATACAAGTGGGTTCTCGAATCTTCTAATATATATCTGCCTCTGAATCCAGTGTTTAACTTCTGTAATATAGAAAGTTTGCTTATGGTCATGACGATCTTACTCCAGTCTCTGAGAGTTTCACTGATGGTCGAAATGGATGGGGTGCGACTATTGTCGATGCACTGACCACTTTGGTTTGTCTCATTTTTGGTGTGCCCAATCTATCCAGAAGCTGAAAGAAAATCATATTTAGTACATCATGGGTCAAGACGTTAGTCTGATGTCTACAGCTAAAATGCATCCGGTTCTCAAATTAAATCGAACTTCATAGGAACTACTGAACGAAGCAATCAACTTCAGCACCAAGATTGACTTTAGTATCTCCCATACTCCAGACACGACCAGGTGAATATTGACCATTCGAAGTATGACTACAGATGAGCTGATCGATGCTTACATTTCTTCCTAGCGTGTTCGAAACATCTATTCGATATCTTGCAGCGCTACTGAGTACCTTTGAGCTGACTGGACAGAAAAATCATGCTCTTGTCACCAAAGCGCAACAAGTTGCTGATAAGATGTCTGTTGCTTGGGTCGGGGTAAGTCATCATTCAAAAGTCTGCTTTAAAGGTTGTACTGATTCAAAAAATTTAACAAGAGTAATGCCGTCCCTTTTGGTGAAGTTGATTTCAATACGAGTTCCCCTCAAATTGCGACTGTATGTTAATGTATTAATGGATGACCTATATGTTTCAATATTTCTAACATATTCATTCTCTAGTCAAACATCGCGGAAGCCGGGACAGTAAGCAATCAGTGTCTTCACATATCTAGCAGCTTCATTGATGTGTGCTTCTTTAGCTCACACTCGAATGGTCAAGGCTAGCGTACGTCCTATATCGTTGGAATCTTTGCCGCTTGTAACTGACTTCACTGCTTTTGACAGAAAATACACCGGAAATGATACCTACCGCCAATTAGCTGAAAACTCCGTTAGGCATATTGCATCACTTGTCAGTCGTCATCTACGCATTCATCCTGTGAAGCTGACCAACACCGTCTATCTTACTATCTTACTCTAGACTGCCCCTCTTCCAGGTCTCGCAGCTCAAGGTATCGATCCAACATCCGGAGAATTTGTAGGATCTTACATCGTGCGCTCATTTCTTGTTTGTCTCAGCATGCATTAGATCTAACTCGTGTATATCTATTTAAATAGACCTGGGGTGGAGGATCAGATTCATACTTTGAATATCTCATCAAATACGCTCGTATCACCAACACCAACGATAACATCTTCGCTGATACTTGGGCTACTGCTGTCGATAGTTCTTTGAAGTTCTTGACCAGAGTAAGTTCATATTTATAACTACTATGTCGAATATCGACTTATTCCTCTCTGTCATGTTTTTACTATCGATATAGACCTCAACAGTTGGAAACCATCTTTACCTAGCTGATAGGGACGACAATGGTAATATCGTTCATGTTGGATCTCATTTGGCTTGCTTCCATGCTGGAAACTGGTTACTTGGTACGTCTTTAGTCATTACCATCTCTCATTCGTCAAAACTACACAGTCTGAATGCATACTCCCTGATGATGTAGGTGGCAAAATGCTAAACAACAACACCATCATTCAAACGGCACTCGAACTCGCTGATGCATGTTGGAACACATATGCGAGCACCCTGTGAGTGACACCTCTTCTAATGTCTCTTTCCTCCTCCTGCGTACTCACGCAAACAAATTTATATCTCCAAGGACTGGAATAGGTCCTGAAGCTTTTGCGTACTTCTCCTCGGACGGAAATTATACAGGACAAACACCGACCGCAGACCAGCTCTCATTCTACTCCAAGAATGGATTCTTCATAGAAACCGGAGCAGAATATTATTACATGAGACCTGAAGTACTTGAATCAAACTTTTACGCTTGGAGGGTTACAGGTGATACGAAATATTTGGACAGAGCTGCAAGTGCTATCTCATCGTTTGAAAAATTCCTTTCGATCAAGTACGGGAATAGTACAGATGGGGGTGTGGCTTATGCTGGTATTTGGAATGTGAATGAGAGTGATTCAGGATTTATTGACGACGAAGAGAGTTTCTGGTTTGCAGAGGTTTTGAAGTATCTGTGAGTTGTTCATTTTATTTTTCAATTCATCAGACCTTTCTTCCGTTCGACCTTTTACTGACCAATTATCGCATCTATGTGTAGGTACTTGACATTCGACGACCCGAACCATATAAACCTTGATGAATGTAAGTTCCTTCTTTAATGTCCACCATTATTTATATTCAACTGTCTGCAATGCCATTGTAGGGGTATTCAACACGGAAGCTCATCCATTCAAAGCACCGCCAGCAAAGCCTTCTTACGGCAGTGGACAGCAAAATAAACCAACCGCTCCATTCAAATCTAAACCTGGAGCCCTTCCTCTCGTCAGTCCCGCACCGAAGTTACCTCCTCAAAGGCCCCCAAAGCTTTGAGCGTGGTTGGAATTGGTATCGGTATTGATATTTATGAGAAGGGTTAGATAGAATTGATTGCTGATAAAACTTGTAGCCTTCGTCTTTTCAGACCTTGTATTGGCCCGGTTTAACTTTTATTATTGAAGTGAAATATATGCGCGTATACCCAGCAAGCCTAGACAGCTGGAAGGAAAGAAATATATAATGTATCGTATCTCGAGAGATTACAACAAATTGACAATAGAAGTGAACGCATGAATGTGTTCTACTTTCTCGTACCTAGTCTCCAATCGCTCATGGTTGAGAGCGCATTTTTGCCAGTAACAGCAGTAACAACTCCAAAGATACTTCCATACAACAGCACATCTCCAAGTTTAAGTGCGACCCAGTACCATAACAATAAACCTTCAAAGGCCGTCAGGGATAGGATAAATGGAAGGATGTGAGGTGAGAAAAGGCGAGGAGTGCTTGGCTTGATTTGAGTCCACTAAACAACCAGATAATAAAGCCAAGACATGAGTATGCTATGCCGAACAATATCGAGAAAGACAACACTGACCAAACCCAAAAGAATCACCCAAGGACCTCCTAACACTGCTGCTGCGAATACAGCCGAGATGAATTTTGGAGGAAGCTTTTGATCTGGTCTGAACGTGTGATGGATTTCGGGGAGTAAATGGAAGTTAGGTTCCTCTGGATGTTGAGGGGCAGGTAAAGATTCGGGGAGGAACAGGTCGAATAAATCAATTTTGACAGGCGGATGAGTGAATGAACCAATTAATAAGGTGACTTTAAGTGGGTTGGCGGAGGTGGTGGGTGGGATGGAGAGAGGGGGGCGAGCCATGTTCTATTATTCGTCGCGAAGAAAGCGAAAGGGAAATCAGTCAAGGAGTACTTGAGAACGAAGTGAGCGAACTCACCAATTCGAACTTCGCTTTCCCACTTGCTGTAACTTTGACAGGTTGAATCCCTTCTTCACCTGAAACTTCATCATAGAAACGAAGGAATGTCTGATGTGGTTGAAGTCCTTTTCCTTCCTCCTTGTCCACTACTTGGAACGTCAATTTCAATGCGTCCTTCGCACCAAGCTTCAATGCATCCGGTTTCTGTGTCAAAGAGAGCCTACACAACCACGATAGAGCCACATTAACTAGTGAAGGTTACCGGAGAAGAATCAACTCACTGCTCAGACCGTAATTGAATCGCGTCAGACGATGAGATGGTAAAACGAGGGGACTGTATTGTTAATGAAGACGCGTTCACGAATCCAACCACTGCCAGCAGTGCTAGCAGGAAAAATGAAAGTCTTCCCATTGCCAAAGAACGACCACTCAACGCTGTTGGAAACGTTGAGTAAATACAGATGGACGATGAGGTGAATGATGAAGGAGACTTACAAACTGCGTGGTCGACAAGTTACACTGAGTGCCGTATAATTAGAGTGCCACGTACATATCTATAATTAGACACAATCACGCGGAATGTTAAGATGGTGCTAGACCATTGCACTACCAAGACTCCATAGCTCAGTGGTTAGAGCATGCGATTGCAGTAATTAGGTCATCCACTGATTAGCTATCGCAGGGTCGCGTGTTCAAATCACGCTGGGGTCTGCTTTTTACGCTACAGTCATCACACCGGATTTTCTCCATGAAATTGCACAGATTCGAAGTATGCAACACGTTTACCCATTTGAAAGAGGTTCAAAACGTCGAATTTGTATCGATCTTGTCTCCTAGATCTGTGAGGGACAAGGCCGATTCGAATATCAGCAGGTGTATTGAGTGTGATAGTACAGATTTCTCTTGAGTGCATGATGTATACGGTATATATTCCGTTAGTCTCTGACTCTCCTCCGCAGACCTCGGAAGAAGATAGTTTGTCCCCTCTATTGACAATCGCCAAGAGAGGTTGGGTACTTGATGAGTTCTGTTAACCCAATTGATGCAAGGGCACATGGTGTAGTTGGTTATCACATCTGCTTAGCATGCAGGGGGTGCTGGGTTCAATTCCCAGTGTGTCCAATTCTAATTTTTTTCTTTTCTCCCAGCGGTGGCAATCAATTGCTGTGATGTGATTGGATAGATGGTGGTCATATGAAAATCGGACTGATTGAAACGAGAACTGAATTCAGAACTACGATCATGACCATGGTCAGCTGCTTGTCCGCCGCTCCCAGCAGTGCATTCCTGTATGACATAGAGCAAGCAAGAATCAATAAATAGTCTCCCGCAGGTCTTCTTGGCTGTGAGTTGTCTTTTGTCGTCTTTCTCCCGAGCTCTCAACAATGCCAGGCTCCATCTCCCATAGGTTACCCCTGGAGCTCATCGAATTCATTGTTCATGAACTTCGAGACGATAAACTCGCGTTGTCTTCTTGCTCCCTCGTGTGCAAGTCCCTCCTTTACACAGGTCGACAGCATTTGTTCTCTCGCATCACTATAACTACAACTCGACGAACTTGTCACAGATATCCATCTACCAACAGAACTATCTCCCACTTTCTCAGTTTCATGGACAGTCTGAACCACGATGACGGGATCTCGCAGCACATTAAATCCCTTTTCATTATTACTCCAGAAGAAATCTGCCGGCACTCTCTCGGGAGGATCTTACACAAACTTCCTAACATCATAAACCTGACTTTGCGAAACCTGAAACCTATCGCTCGATGTAACTGTCTGAACAGCTACAAATTTCCGCAGGTGTCGATCCAAACCCTCGAATTGTACTCCCTGACCAACCTCCATGAACGACATTGCAACGGTAACGAGTCTATCGCGCACGCACAAGCCACAATATTCGACCTAATATCTATGCTTTCTGTCTTTTCTTCCATTCGCACTCTCATCGTCAAGGGAGGATGTAATTTTGATATACGATACGTACCCGACGGAGATCTCAGCTTCGTATCGAGATCAGGTGTGCTGGGGAGTGACTTTGACTCCTTCCTATCTTCCCCTTTGACCAAACACCTGAGAGTGAGCGAGCTGAAAGCTCACGATTGGAGTTCTTCGGCTGTTCAAGCCATACAGTTATTATCTTCGTTCCCTATTCCTGACAGCGTCGGTCCAAGTTTGACGAATGTTCACGTGCAAATGGATGGGTTTCACAAAGTGTGGGATTTTAATCTGTGGTTGGATGGGAATCGTAGGAGACAAGAAAAAGGAGGGGTAGGTATCAATGAATTGAGGATGGAGTTTATAACTCCTACAGCTTGTGTGCATCCAGCCTTTGTTCATTGTGAGTTTCTTCTTTTGCTCTGTGTTAAAACTGTTCCCACTCCGATTTTGACTGAATTACTTTACACAGGGTCTTTCCCCTCGTGGATCGATCTCCTCAAAACCCTACGAATACACAAATCTATCACTTCCCTCAACGCCATATTTCATGTCCGCCCAACCTCTGACTTGAACGTTTACGAAATTCTCTTCTCCCTTCTTTCTACAGGTTTATCTCCTTATCTCAAATTCCTCACTCTTACCTTCATTCTGACTCATGAGACGAATTCTGTTACAACATCTCTCAGCGACCTCATCCAATTGATATCATCATGGGATTGGGAAAAAGTCAGAAAGATTTTTGAAGGTTCGGAGAGCCTCAGATTGGAGAGGTTGGACATTAGAGTCAATGCAAACACCCTGAATCAAGGAATATCGGTGCACAGAACCGACAACGTTAACGATGGAGAAAGGATTGCGGAGAATAACAAGTCTGAAGGAAAGGAAAGGGTACTCATACGTAGGGAATGCGATTCTCGAGAAGATCTTGACTCCACTACCGAGAAAGTTAGAGAGACTATCAGGGAGAGCTTGAATCGGTTGGAGCGAAGGAGTCTTATTGTTTCCGTGGGTGCTTAACAAGAGCGGCTTCGAGGTCGCACAGGATTTGGAAACTTATCATGGACTTTGAATGGATCTCAATTTCTAATTTATTTTTCTTATTGTCGTACAATTTCTTTGTAGTTGTTTTGTACCATTAGTCAGCTGTAGTATTATATTGTAAACGAAATCACAGTGATTCAAGATGCTCTGGTTCGAAATATCGTTTTCTTGGGAAACCAATCACGTTTTTAGAGACTCCCTAGGAATAAGGTAATTGCACCCAAAAAACAAACTTTCGCTAATTTCCCTCTCGTTGGTGGTTCAGCGCAGTGTCGCGGTCACTATGAGCGGTGAGTAGCCTCGTGGCCGTGAACGGGTAGCGCCCATTTAAGCAGAACGCGACTTGGGCGCTTTCACGCGTGTGGTCGCGTACTTAACCTTAAAAATCATCTTCAAAACGCCTTTATCGCGTTCCCATATGCCTTTTATTCTTGACCGTGATACAAAATGAACAACCAGAAAATAGGACCAACTCAAGCACCGCGGTTCACCGCCCCAACTACTCCTGGAACATCTATAAGCCCCTACCAGCCGACAACTTCATCATATGGAGCGGGAGGGAGTAGAGGTTCTGCTTTCATTCATTACCAACCTCAACCTCAAAATCAAACCCAGCCTACACCTATCTCTTCAGCGTATGTTATTCCCCCATCTAATCCTGCTCGTACTTCACAGGTGGTCTCTCCCACTGTTTCGAGCAATCCCCCATTCGTAGCCCCTCAACAAGCTCCTCAACCTTCACAACAAGACGTTTATAATGCTGTCATAAGATCTATGCAGAGTCTTCATGATAGCATTACCACACGACTTCGATTACTGGAAGCTAATCAGCACTTGATGAATGGGAATATCGACAAGGTCGTTAATTTTACTGCACATTGTCGCGAAGAAAGCAGGAAGGAAAATGAGAATATCATGAAATGGGTCCAGAAAGTTGAAGTAGGTCATGCGAAGGTGCTAGGTAAGGTCTTTGAGAGGCTGGGTAGATTGGACAGGGAGTTTGGAATCGAGTGTAAGGACGAAACTTCTGGATTCCGTGAAGACGATGAAGAAGAGGGCATGGATATTGAGGGAGGCTATAATCCCCCGAGTGGAAATGGCAGTTTGGCGGGGAGAATGAAGAATATGGAATATCTCCTGAACGAGCTGTTGGAGAAGGAGAACGATCCTAATGCTAACCGTGTGTTACAAACTCGTCTCTCATTAATCATCTATTCAAACAATGATCATTGCATTCAACAGACAACTATCGTGACATTGGTATAAGTCCCCATGTTAGCTTTGTCGAAAGGGGTATAATAATTTCATCTTCATCGCACATACATTGTTTCTAATGAATCAATCTCAGATTTTGCGGATATCGGGACAGACACATTAAATCTGACAACCTATGTCGATGCAGCTACACTTTCAGATCGAAATCCCGTTTCAGAAATAGGAGTGTATGCGCGTCCGGAACCCGTAGAGACAACTGATGAAGGCGTCGACCCTATTCCTCAACCTTCTGCATCGAGCGCAACACATGTATCTATAGGGACAAGTCCAGTACCAACCGGTCAATGCGCTCCAATCAATTCCTCCTCTGTCGGGAGTGGCTATGGTAAGTGTTTGGGCTTCTCTCTACATTGCATCCTTAATTCTTAAATACAGAGCTAAATGTCGTATGTTCTACAGCTCCAACTTTTCAACCTCGAGCTCAGTTCGCTGATCTGACTTTCGACAAGGGTGACCCTCCGATTTCCAAAATTGTACCTGCAAATTGGGTTGCCAAAGAGGACGATACGGACACCACAAGTAGCAGCGAAAGTAGGTGGGTATATGCGTTTTGTTCATTTTGATTCTGATATTTCCCTCCTTCTACCTCTCTCTATCTCATCCTTCCCGGTTTGTTCATAATCTTTCATTCACGTTCTGGCTTTGAATTGGATTGATTTTGTTCTTTCTTTGCTTTGGGATCGGAAATGCGTATTGGTATAGAAAACAAGCCCGCTGATGCTAACGATAATACTACTCCCAACGCGCCGATGGTTGTTCAAACTTCTTCTGCAAACATTGAACCATCCACTTCTATCCCATCGGAATCTGACTTGTTGCATTTGGCCCTATCTCATAGTGCGTATAGTCTTTCGTCATCTCTATCCATTTCATTGACGATGTTCTTCCAGGTTTCTCAAGTCCCCCACCTTTCGACACCGAATCGGATCCATATGCACTCTTCTCCGAGCGATTAGATGGACGAGATGGTTATCCCCATTTCATGACATCACTTAGTGGTCCTACACAAGAAGATTCCTCTGCTGCTACCATCGAGAATATTAATCACAACCTCAATCGGAATAGTCACTTTCTTCCAATCATGACAAACCCCCATCAGACCTTTGACTCAGCTGGGAACGGGAGGGGACGAAGTATCTCTCCCGTTGAAAGAAGGTCGTCGTCATCTTCTACGCCCTTTACTATAAGGACTGTACCAACTACTCCGATTCCAACTTCTCCTCATGCTGCTTCGAAGAACCTCGATTCGGATGATATATCGACTCGAGTAGAAGACAGCTTTACCGAAATGTATATGACTTTATTTGGGAACGAGGAGAACGAGGAGGACGAGGGAGATACACAACCATTAGAAAGTGGGGGTGGTCATGCACATGAAATCGATGGGAAGGTCGGAGAGGAGGCTAGTAACGATGCGAGCTTTGAAGTGGAGAAGCGTGTCGATTTTGTGGTGGA